GGGCTCATCGATCTCCTTTCATGGGGATTTCTTCGGAGATGCAGAACAAGGTAAGAAATTGCTGGTTCTGGTTTACCAATTTTAAACCGCATGATTCCTCTTTCTTCTTCCGAATTTTGTTTCAATTTAGGGTTTCAAAACAGTATCTATCTATCGTTGAGCAAGAAGGAAATGTTCCGTTTCGTTCTAATTCGATCCTCTCCCTTTAATTTGCGAAATAATGGTTGTTGTTGGGAAGGGAAGATTAACTTTGAATCGGTTCGGTGGCTAGATTTTGAAGGTTTCGAGAAACTTAATGTTATGGTTTTGGGTTTAGCGTTAATTGTAGTGATTTTAGATTAACAAAAGAATTGGGTTGTGATAAAAAAAATTCCTTTTTTTTTCTGAGAGTGGATTGGATTCTATCTGTGTGATTTTGTGTTAGGCTGCTACGGAGGCTGCACAAAAGAGATGGACTCTGAGTGATTTCGACATCGGAAAGCCTCTTGGTAGAGGGAAATTTGGTCATGTCTACCTAGCAAGGGAAAAACAGGTTTAGTAGCTTCACAATCTTGTTTGAGTTATTATTGGAAAAGTATCTTCACAATTATGTTAGACAAATGATGACATATATGCACATTTGAAACAGAGTAATCACATTGTGGCTCTAAAGGTTCTTTTTAAGAGCCAGCTTCAACAATCTCAAGTTGAACATCAGCTTCGTAGGGAAGTAGAAATTCAGTCTCATCTTCGCCATCCCAATATTCTGCGACTCTATGGTTATTTCTATGATCAGGTGTTTGTTTATTTATGTACTGTTTCTAACAACTTGTTCTTGGCATAAGATATTTGTCTCTGTGAGGATAACACAGTTTCTTGGATGCCGTTTGTTGCAGAAAAGAGTTTATTTGATTTTAGAGTATGCAGCTAGAGGTGAACTTTACAAAGAGCTTCAGAAATGCAAATACTTTAGCGAACGTCGAGCAGCAACCGTAAGTCCTAATGATGTTATTGACCTTGCCTCTGAATCTGAATGTGTTTCAGACTTTGTATTTGCGCTTATTGTCGTACGTGCACATACCCTTATATGTTTATTGTCGCAGTATGTTGCGTCATTGGCAAGAGCCCTCATCTATTGCCATGGAAAGCACGTAATACACAGAGATATAAAACCAGAAAACCTACTGATTGGTGCTCAGGTAACAAATCTAAGTTGATTCATCTTTTTCTTTTCGTCAACACCATGTGATTGAAGTTAACTTACATATTTATCCATCCATGGATATACAATCAGGGTGAGCTCAAGATTGCAGACTTTGGATGGTCAGTACACACATTCAACCGCAGAAGGACTATGTGTGGCACTCTGGATTACCTTCCACCTGAGATGGGTATGTGAAAGCTATCGAGTGAGTGTGTTTTCACAATTAGTCTCTTGTGAAACCAGCTAATTGACTTTTCTGCTTTTGGATTTACAGTGGAAAGCGTTGAACACGATGCTAGTGTCGATATCTGGAGTCTTGGAGTTCTCTGTTATGAGTTTCTTTATGGTGTTCCTCCTTTTGAGGCCAGGGAGCATTCAGACACATACAGAAGGTAACTAAGCTGTTCATTGAGCTTAGGATGGGATTAGTACGATGTTGTGGTTATGAACATAACAGAATCACTCTTTGCTCAACCAATGCTACAGGATTGTGCAAGTAGACCTCAAGTTCCCTCCCAAACCCATTGTGTCTTCATATGCAAAGGATTTGATTAGCCAGGTTTCAACTCGTAAATCTCTCTTTAAGCTTCTGTGTATTGAGGAGTGAATTCTGATTTTTCGCGCTTTCTGATCAAACAGATGCTTGTCAAGGAGTCAACGCAACGTTTGGCCTTGCACAAACTTCTGGAGCATCCATGGATTGTGCAGAACGCAGATCCTTCAGGGATTTACAGAGGTTGAAGCTTCTTCATGCAGAGAAGAAAACATTGTATTCTTGGATTCACTAAAAGGAATTTAACCGGGACATGATTTTTATTCTATCCCAATTAGTAGCTGTGTTGCAAAAGTATTTGTACTATATTTGTTAACAAAATCCCAATTAGTTTTGAATCTCACATCACTTCTTTCTTTTTAAAAATCTGTGCAACGCAGACAAGGTAAAATTAACCAAGTAGAACAAAACAATAAGAAAAAATCTATCGATGATATTTTCATCTTGAAGAAAAATATTAAGCATTAATCATTTTCCTTCAAAAGGTGAATCAGATAAGAATGAACAATGTTTTTGTTTATCTATCATAAAATGAAGAATAACGTCTACTTAATTTCAATATTGAAAAAATCTTGGTGTAGTCTCAGAAGGCATACCGGTAAATGGCATCAGCAACACCATCTTCGTCATTGCTCAAACCGATCACATTAGCCACTGCCTTTGTCTTTTCAGCACCGTTGCTCATTGCGACTCCAAATGACGCCAGTTCCAGCATCTCTATGTCGTTTTCCCCATCCCCAATAGCTATTATCTGATCAAAACCCCGGTTTGCTTTTCATCAGTTATCTTACTTCTAAACAAATAAATCAAGCAAATTGAGACTTGGAAGCTTGAGCTCAACAAGGCTGGGCATTCGATTTTTTACAGTTTTGACTATTATACCGAACTAAAAACCAATTTTGGTTTTCAGCTCGGTTCGGTTTTGAGTCCAGATCCGGCTCGGTTTGGGGGAAAAATATAGATAAATCATTAATTTAATTAAACCCAGATGTGGTCATGGTTTGGTATAAAGCTATTGCTACCGTTCAGTTTCAAATAAAGTTTGGTTCAGTACTGCTTCAACAAAATTTTGTTTTGGTTCAGTTTTTATACCCACCCCTACTTGAGTTCCTATACAATGCTGTAGAAGGACGCTAGATATTACCTCATCCGGTGAAACGCCCAAATGATCGAGTAGCATTTTTACACCGTTCCCTTTGGAGGTTCCTGGTGGGACGATTTCGAGCATGTCTGATTGAGCTTGAACGACGTTAGCACGATCTCCTGTTGCTTCTGACCAGTACGGACGGATAACAGATGAGACCCCTTCGGTCGTGTCCATAAATATCACTTTCTGCAGATATACAAGAGAACCCACCATCGATAATTAAGCTTATACAGATGTAAAAAAACAAAATTTAAGTTCTGACCCCAGGAATTACCTGAATGTCAGCTTCAGCTATAAGTTGATCAACCGAAGATATGATTTCGGCCTGTTAACACAAAACACGTAGAGGTTGTGCAAGAAGATGTTAAATATCATAGTTAGAAGGTAAGAGAATGTAACGGTTTCATTAACCTACCTTTGGCTCATTGTAGATTGTGTGAAGAGACTCAACTAGAGGGTGGTCAAACAATGTCAAGCAGCGATCCTGGCTGAATGCAATGAGCGGAATTCCATGCTCCAGAGAATAAAGACACGTCTGCATATTACAAATCAACATTTTGACATGAATGAAACTGAATTTCTAGCTTTCAGTTATTCAATCACGATGCACACAGATACTAAGTTGAAGACTATCCTAGGTAGTTAAGTAGTGTTTCTCAGCTTCCCACGGTAGAGAACTATGAAGCAAGGCCGAGAGTGTGACAATTAAGTATGTGCAGGTCATATCAGTCTAAGTCACAAGTGGATTACCTCTCTGCAGACATCTGGGTCCAGGTTTCCTCTATACACTTCTTTCCCCTGTCTACCATAGACAAGTAAGCCCTGTAATCAGACAGATATTCAGTGAGATATGTGGTGAAATAGAGAGCAGACATATACAATGAGATAGGTGCATCTCACTGGTTCCCGGATGTTAGTGAAAATAGGAGACCTGAACGAATACGCCTGGAGAGGACTCTGAAACAATGCCATCACGTCCAGCTAGATCAGCTTTTTTCAAGATTCTGGTCGCACCAGGGCGGGACTGTGATAAATAGATGAATTTAGCAGTAGGCATCTCCAAAACATTCTGAAGTAGTATAGATAAACAGCAAAAAAGGGAAGACATAATTGGACAGATACTGTTCTCTTCTCACCTTCCCCGTAGCTATCACAACTTTAAGTCCCCTCAGCACGGCTTCTTTTAAAGCTTTTGCATTTGCCTCCGAAATCTGACTTCTACTGTTCAGTAGTGTGCCTAGCATTCACATTAAGATTCTATTATAGAGAGAAGCACAACCAAAAGAAACAACTACAGATTGTTGAATAGGTAACCTTACCATCCATATCACAGAATATATAGGAGAACTTGGGTCTGTAGAATCTTAGGCCATCCCCTTTCTTCCTGTCTTTTAAGAGTAGTCTTAGCAAGAACAAGTAAACTGTATATTTATATTACCCCCCTTGAAGAAGAGGAGGTGCAAAATGATGCATATAAATAGAGGAAAATTACCATCTAATTTCTCTGGCTGAGGTTTGGCTATTTTTTCAAATTCATATGCACTCTGAATGAGTCCTTTCCCTTTCCATCCAAGGCTTTTTAGCAACAACTCCTCCTCCTCCTCCATTTCTTTCTCAGCCTCTTCGCCGATCTCATGATCAAAACCCAGTAGGTGTAACAACCCATGAATCTTTGAAAAAAAAATTAAGGGGATCAGGACATGGAGTTTGCGACACAAAGCATATCAAACCATAGAATCAAATAAAATAAAAAAATTGGCTCCTGCCCTTCCTATGTGTGCTCGACATAATGAAAACCCAGCACTGACTTCTTTACATGTTTAAATGGAATAACAAAGATAAAGAACTATACTGCTAAGCAAAAGAAACTAAGGTTTCTAATCTACTCAAGGGAAAATCCACCGAAAAGGATCCACATTGTACTTGTATTGTATGTTTTGGTTCAATAGTAAGCCAGTAACAGATTCCAAGTCCACATCTATTAACGTACCACAAGAATGCGTATCTCATCAAGAAGAGTGTGCCCTCTCTCTGCAGCCTGCCTTGCAGCTGTCTCAACAGAAATGACGATATCTCCCATCATAAGCTACAAGAAGGATGATCCATTATGAGTAGCCATTTGGAACCATACTGTTTAGAACCATTGAATGAGAAAGAAAATAAAAAACTCTTACTACTGGAAGCTTGAGCTCAGGGAGATGTTGTGACATGGAAAGCACATCTGTAGCATGATCTTCATCCCTCCATTCTTTGTTAAGCTTAGAGATGAAGTCATCATTGCAAAGCATGACAGATAACTCAACAGTTTCAAACCCACCAACATCTTCTATGTCAGTTTCTCTTGTTTTATACTTGGAATCTTTCAAACCATCAAAAGCCAGCTTCATTGCCATAGGAACATTGAGACGAAGCATTTCCGCTATATTCTGATGATTTGAAAGTTTAATCTATCACTCACTAGTTGAAATGGGTAATAATCCAAATTCGATAAATAAATAGACAAACCCGAATCTCGAGATCATCAGGAAGCTGCTCCTCTATGCAGATGCTGACATTAAGCTCCAATTCCTTTTTCTTCTTAGGGGCTCTCTTTCTCGTCTTCCTATATTCTCTCCTCTCCGCAAAAACCCGACCCGCCGGCTTCGGAAGCTTCCAGACCCCTCCGCCGTAGCTGGGTAGGGCGTGGAATCTCCGGTGGAACATGGAATAAAAGTCGGAGGACAAAGAGGAAGAAACATGGAGACGATTCGGTGTGGTGGAAAGAGCAATTGTTGGGGAAGAGGGTAAGAAGTGGGGTTGGAGGAGACGAGCATGGTGGTAAAGAGTGGCGCGTGGCATTTGACGGGTATGGCGGAGGATTGGAGAGAGTCGAGAGAGCATGGAGACTTGCCTCAGAGATGCGTGGGGTTGAGGGAGGGAGGGAGGGAGGCGTCTCTGTAATCTCTAATCTGCAATTCCGCTCAAGGGTGGGAATGCAATTCAATCCGAACCGGATCTAACCGATTTTATTACTGTTTATTTTATTTTTTCAAGAAAATCAATACTATAATAACACTGCGATTAAAAAAACTTCCATTAAAAAACCAATTTAGCGTAAGGTGCATATTTTTACATAAAAGTTTTATATATAGGCACACAATTAAAAAAATATATAAACTAACATGAATGGTTTCGTTTATTAAAAAAAGCCAAAAATATTTAATCGAG